CATCATGTCGAGGAGGTCTAGGGGAAGGCAGGAGCTGAGGCTTCCCGAGAGGTGGGAATAGCGTCGGAGGAAGCACTCGGTCCGATAGAGATTGTCGATTCTCCATCGTTTACAAAGTCGATGTTTAATGAGGCCCAAGTAGCAAAAGAATGCTCCATCGACGAATCCCATAGATCGAAAGACTCTTTTCGCGGTTTTTTCGATAGTGTGGATTCGACGGCCACGGAGGATGCCATTGGATTAGGCGATTTAGAGATACCGAGGAAGAGCTCTCCCTCTGAAGCAAGCGGGCCTTCCTCAAGCCTAAAATTGGTCAATCGATTCCCAACCCCGAGTGCATATCCTTATCGGAAACACACCGTTATCTTTTCCTTTCCTGAGGATGCCCGGGTTCTTTCTGCCCCGATGGTAATTGCTATTTATCTTCGGTGCTTGGTGACCGAAGAGGATCAAGCTAAAATTAACGAGGTGGAAGCGCCCTGCTTGTTCAACGAAGCTCAACAGGCGCTGAATCGGGTAACTTCGAATGTCCCTTCATTATGTATTAGATTTAATCGTGAATAATCGTATCATTTTCCTTTGTGTTTCCAGGCCTCAGTGCTTCATCACGAGGCCTTTCCCTGATACCGGGAGAGTTCAAACGTCACGATATCGAGACTCGGGAGATTGCAGAGAAGAAGAATGCTTACAAGCTTCTTAGTGAGAAATCCCAAGCTGAGCTAGAAGCGGCTCGGAAGGAGCATGCAGACCTGATCGAGCAAGTAAGAAGAGTTCTTGAAGTTAGTTATGATGAGTCAAACTAAGTGGCTAACGATTCGAACCCGCAGGTTTAAAAGAAGCTTGACCAGATCGAGAAACTTTGGGGGAAGGTGGATACGGTCAAAGCTGAGGCCAAAGAATGGAAAAAAACATGGATCGCCTGGCTTCGGGCACAGTTGGCTTCGACTGAGGTTCATCTTCGGGCTGCAAAGGAGAAAAACTTGGAGCAGGCCCAAAAGATCGAGGGGCTCCAATCTCAGCTGAACTTGGTTGTTTCTGGTCAAGAGCATCTGCCCAGGGAGCTTGAGGCGGCCAAGTCAGAGGTTATCGTGATCAAGACTGAGATTGATGAAAAAGTGGCTCAGTTCAAGGGTGATGTCGAGGCTATTCAGGAACAAGAGAGAAACATGGTGAAGCATGCGAGGTGGTAATCCCGAATGGAGGCCCTCGAGGGAGTCCATGCTCAGAATTTCGACGTATTGGCTGAAATAAAAAATGCCAAGATATACGAAGCTAAGGCCAGAAAGCTGGCTTATCCCGAGGAAGATTACGAGGGGTCCGAAAAGTTGGTGAGTCTGATGATGGCGAAAACCTTGTTGGTGACGATGTGGCCCCCGATGAAGATTAGGCCGTTTAGGATCGTTTTAGGCATTTTTGCCTTTTTGTTCTACATTTGTTTTGTCGAGGTCGTTCGGCCATTGTAAACAATATGTATCGGGGCTATGCAACCCTTGTAAAGAAATTTTGATATATATATATATATATATATATATATATATAAGGTTTTTCCTTTTCATAGCTTTTGAATTTTTCCTTTGCTTTTTTATTTATATTCGCAAAGGTTAGGTTCGAACCTACGAACATAACCGAATTATTTTATACTAAGGCGTTTCGCATTTAATGCTTGGTTCTCCGACCTCGACTGGTATTAAATCTTCGGTGCCATAAACTAAAGAGAACGAGGTGGCCCCGGTACTGGACTTCGAGGTTGTACGGTACGCCCATAGGACCTTAGGTAGCCTTTTCCTTTAGCGTCGGTTAACCTCTTTTTAAGACTTTGGAGTATGGTTTTATTGGTAGATTCAGCTTGTCCATTCCCACTAGGGTGATAGGGAGTGGATACGATCCTTTTGATTTTATGGACTTCGAGAAACTTGCTTACTTTACTGCCAATAAATTGTTTCCCATTGTCGCACACGATCTCGGCCGGTATTCCGAACCAACATATGATATGGTTCCAGATAAAATCGATGACTTCTTTTTCTCTGACCTACTCATATGCATGTGCCTCCTCCCATTTAGAGAAATAGTCAGTCATAAATAAAATATATTGAGCCTTACCGGGGGCCCGTGGGGGAGGGCCGACGATGTCCATCCCCCATTTCATGATTGGCCATGGTGACAAGACCGAATGTAGCAGTTATCCAGCTCGATGAATCATCAGAGCATGCCTTTGACATTCATCAAATTTTCCTATGAACTCCTTTGCGTCTTTTTCCATGTTGATCCAGTAGTAACCGACTTTGATTATTTTTCGGATTAGTGATTCGGCACACGAATTATTTTTATAGGTACCTTCGTGAATTTTCCTCAAAACGTACTAGTATCCCCCGGTCCTAGACATATCGAAAGTGGGCCATTGAATGTTTTTCTGAACAGGGTTCCATCTTCGGCCAGGCTAAATCGGGTTACCTTTATACGCAGGGCTCTCGATTCTTTCGGGTTCGAGGGCAGTTTTCTGGTTCTAACATATTCCACTTACTTATTTCTCCAGTCCCAAGTTAGGCTCGTCAAGTTGATCTCGGCGTGGCCTTCTTCCACTACCGATCTCATAAGTTGTACCACTTTTTCCGAGTTAATCTCGTTGTCTTCGATCAACGATCCCAAGTTAGCGAGGGCATCGGCCTCGCTGTTTTGATCCCGAGGCACATGTTGCAAAGTCTATTCTTTGAACCGATGAAATATCTCTATATTCTCTCTTCTCTGACCTCGAATGTCCCATTAATTTAGTTTACCACAAGGAGGGATTCGCTTTTAGCTTCGATCACCTCTGCCCCCAAGCTCTTGGCTAGTTCAAGGCCTATAATCACAGCTCCATATTCGGCCTCGTTGTTAGTTAATTTCATAGTTTTAATGGATTGTCTAATTATATTACCTGTTGGTGGCTTTAGTACGATGCTAAGTTCGGACCCTTTTGTGTTTGAGGCACCATCTGTGAATAGGGTCCAGATCCTCGAGGAAGTTCCGGAGTTAACCAGTAACTCTCTTTCGACCTCGAGTATTAGGGTTGGTGTAAAGTCAGCCACAATATCTGCAAAAATTTGAGACTTAATGGCGGTCCGAGGTCGGTACTCGATATCATAACCACTTATTTCTACGGCCCATTTGGCCAATCGGCCCATGAGTTCGGGCTTATGCATAACGTTCCTCAATGGGTAAGTAGTTACGACACATATGGGGTGACATTAGAAGTACGATTTTAGCTTCCTAGAGGCGCTTAGCAAAGTAAGTGCCATTTTTTCCAGGTGAGGGTACCTAGTTTCGGCCTCACCTAAGGTCCTACTAATATAGTAAATTGGAAATTGCGTACCTTGCTCTTCCCGAACTAGGAATCCACTTACCGCTATCTCCGAGACCACCAGGTACAAGTACAGTCGTTCGTTTGTCTTTGGTATGTGAAGCAACGAGGGGCTCGATAAGTATCTGTTGAGTTCCTCCAAAGCTCATTGCCATTCCTGGGTCCACGAGAAATTATTCTTTTTCTTTAACAGAGCGAAGACTCTGTGGCCCTTGTCAGACGACCTCAAAATAGATCGCCCCAGGGCAGCTATTCACCCGGTTAACCTTGGCACGACTTTTATGTTGTCCACGACCATGATATCTTCGATGGCTTTGATCTTATCGGGATTGATCTCGATTCCCCGATTGGATACCATGAATCCGAGAAACTTACCTGACCCAACTCCAAACGCATATTTTTTCGGGTTTAGTTTCATATTGTACTGTTTTAGTACGCTGAAGGTTTCCTGCAAATGTTTTAAATGGTCCTCTGCTCGCAGGAACTTAACTAATATGTCGTCAATGTAAACTTCCATTGATTTTCCTATTTGTTCTTCGAACATCCGATTTACTAGGCTTTGGTATGTGGCACCGGTATTTTTTAATCCAAATGGCATTATATTATAACAATATGTTTCATATTTAGTAATGAATGAGGTTTTTTCCTGATCACCCGGTCCATCCGTATTTGGTTGTACCCGAAATAGGCATCTAGAAAACTGAGGATCTTGTGGCCGGTCGTGGCATCGATCATTCGATCGATGTTGGGCAAAGAAAAAACGTCTTTGGGGCATGCTTTATTTAAATCTTTGTAATCTATACACATTCTTATTTTATTCCCTTTTTAGGGACTACCACTACGTTTTCTAACCAATCCGGGTATTTAACCTCCCGAATGGACCCTATTTTAAGGAGTTTAGATACCTCGTCCTTGATGAAAGCATGTTTGACCTCGGATTGGGGCTCCTCTTCTGCTTGACCAGATTGATTTTTGGGTCTAGGCTTAGCTTGTGAGTGGTTATCTCTGGTGGGATCCCTGTCATATCAAGATGGACCAAGCGAAACAATCTATATTAACTACAAGAAATTGAATAAGTTATTTTATGAGCTCAGGAGTTAACCCCGTGCCCAAGTATACCTTCTGATCGGTAGATGCTTGACCAATATAACTTATTCCAACTCTTCGACCGTCGATTTGGTTTCGACAAAGTCGTCGGGGATTATAAAAGACCGGGGAACCCCGTAATCATCGTCTTTATTAGTCCCCTTCTTGCCTGGTTGGGTCGTGGCTAGTATCAATGACTGTTGTTTGGCCTCTTGGTTTGCGCCCGAATTCCGTCCCTTCGATGTTGCGAGTAGTGATATTGGAATCACTCCTTAGACTACAAATATCTCTTTTGCGGCCGGTTGTTCCCCATAGATTGTCTTAATCTACCCCAGAGTTGGGAATTTTAATACCTGGTGAAGAGTCGAGGGAACTGCCCTCATGTTGTGGATCCATGGCCTTTCGAGAAGGGCGTTGTACCTTATGTCTCATTAGATCACATAAAATTTGGCTTCTTGCATGGTTTCTGTGGTATTAACCGGTAACGTTATCTCCCCCTTGGTGGTTTCACATGCCATGTTAAACTCGTTTAGAACTCGGACTGCATGCATGAGTTTGTCTTGTAGACCGAGCTGTTTCACGACTCTCGACCGAATGATGTTAGCCGAGCTACCTGGATCAATCAACACACGTTTAATTCGAGTTTTATTTACGAGTACAGATATTACCAGTGCATCATTATGAGGCTGTACGATCCCTTCCTTATCCTCGTCGCTAAAAGATAAAATTCCTTCTGGTATGTAGTATCGAATTCGTTTCTCCCTAGAGATGAATACTTTGGTGCGTTTCAACATCGGCCCCTGTGGGATATCGATTCCACCGATGATCATATTTATGATGTGTTGAGGTTCGGTATCCTCTTGTTCTGTCTGTTTGTTAGAATCCTTGTTCCTAAAGTAGTTCTTGGCTCGGTCTTTCAAGAATTCTCGAAGGTTTCCATTGTTGAATAAACGGGCTACTTCTTCTCTCAGCTGTCGATAATCTTCCATTCTATAACCGTGAGTGTCATGATATTTGCACATCTGGTTAGGGTCCCTTTGAGATGGATCAGATTGTAGAGGTCGAGGCCATTTGGTATCATTGATGCGCCCGATAGCTGATATGATGGCTGCAACATCGACATTAAAGTTGTATTCCGATAGCCTCAACGCTTCTTTAGGACCGATGGACCTATCAAAGCTATTTTTGGTCATGAGCCCTCGATTGCTTCGACCTTGGTCATTTCTCCTTTCGTTTCTTATGGGGTTCCATCCGGACCCTTTGCTCCTCCGATCTCCATTATACGGTAGATATCGATCCTTGTTTGGTCTTAGTTCACGATCGATGTCTCTCTTGACTCTATCGAGGATTCTGACGGGATAAACAGACTCCGAAGGGGTCCCAAGTTGGTCATTTTCGACTTTGATTTTCGATTGGTACCAGTTATGTATGTCGGCCCAAGTAACGACAAAGTGTTCTATCAGATTCTACTTCAGTTGTTGTGAAGCCACCGAGCTCCGAATATTGAGTCCTTGAGTGAAAGCTTGAACAACCCATTCATTGGCGACTGGCGGAAGATCCATTCGCTCGATTTGAAAATGGGACACGAATTCCCTGAGCATCTCGTTATCCTTCTGTTTATCTTTGAAAAGGTCTGATTTCCTGGTTTCGACCTTGATGGCACTAGCATGTGCTTTTACCAAGGAGTCTGCAAGCATAGCAAATGAGTCAATAGAATTAGGAGGTAAGTTATGATACCATATCATAGCTCTCTTTGACAGGGTCTCCCCAAATATTTTCAGTAGAACAGACTCGATCTCGTCGCCTTCCAAGTCATTCCCTTTGATAGCATATGTGTAAGAGGTTACATACTCGTTTGGATCGGTCGTTCCGTTATACCTAGGTATTTCGGGCATACGGAATTTCTTGGGGATTGGCTTCGGAGCCGCGCTCGCAGGAAAAGGTTTATGTACGAACTTCCTGGAATCTAGTCCTTTCAGTATCAGAGGTGCTCCTCGATTTGATCTACCCTGGAATTGTAGGTTTCCATTTTTTTGTTGTTCGCTTCGATTTTCTTTTCCCCTGATTCTATCCATTTTGTTAGCTCTTCGAACATCTTTATAATCTCGGAGTTAGCACCCAATTCTTGTTCATTTGATCTTACTGTGACCGGTTCATCCCTGCGGGTGACTTCACGGGGTGGATCGGGTTCAACTCTGCTCGGCGCCTGGCTTTGGCTCTGTAACTGAGCTATCGTCACATGTTGAGCTTGCAGCATTTCGAAGATCATCTGTAGGCTGATTCTGTCTTCTTCATTGTTTAGTGTGTTTCGAACTACCGATCGGACCCTACGACGACGCTATTTTCGGGGTCGGTAGTCAAGTTTGCATCGATGGCCACATGTGAATTAATATCAATCGGATCTGCGATTGGAATCCCACTGGGACCAACGGGTGGCCCTACGTTACCGGGCGCTATGTTGTTATTCTCACCCTGATGACCGGACTCGTTATCGATATGTAGGGGGTGCTAATTGAGAGTTTGACATTTTTAGCCTGAAATCAAATACACATCAAAGAGCAAGCGCAAAGTAGTATGTGTTATGGAGATTTGTATCAATCAACCACTATTATCCTTAGCCCCACGGTGGGCGCCAAACTGTTTACCCAGAAAATCGGATAACAATTGAATTTGTCAATAGTTTTAAGGATATACGGATTAACTTGATACAAAGCGATAAATTAAATTGCAATTGAAATAAATTACAATAAATTAACTGCAAACCACGTGAGTTGTATGATTTCAACGTAAGAAGCAAGTCACCCTCGAGTTGAATACACTTTTATTGACACAAAAAATATCAAAAGAGCAAAAACTTAGAGAATATATTTTTTATCAGTACATGTTACAATGTCCTTTATGATTTGTCAAGTCCCCTTTATATATTAGGGGAGATCTACCTTTTAAGGTATTATTTTATTGTTCTATAAAAGGCAAAAGTCCTTGATTTGTTGACCGTTGGTTTTCCTTTTTGAGTCGTTCCGTAATTTTTGCCATAATAATTGGTTAATGGCGAGAATTACGGACCCTTGTCGGATGAGTTGACAAAGTTTTTTACGAGACCGCTAGAAACGGGACCGGTTATGACTTTGGTTAACTTGTGGGCAAATCCGATGATTTCGATGGCTAATTTCGACAATGCTTTGGGTTCGATCTCAATCACCATATTTCGATCTTGGCTGATTGTATCGAATGTTAGATCGTTTTTCAAGCTCGACCTTATCCGATCACAGATTATTTGACTCCGGCCTAATGAGGGAGTCTTGGAAGCGAGATCGAATATAGAGCTCGGTTTTACCCGTATACACTATCTTCTTCGCATCATCTCCTCTCCACCATTAAAATACCATGTAAACCTCCATTAACACCACATCCAAACACCTGTAAAATTCGGCCACCAACAAACGCACTTTTAAGTTTTCACTGCTGCGGCTTTTCGAGTTTTCCCGTGAGATTTTCCGTTTGAGATCGTTGTTCTTTGTTTCCGGTTTGAGGTCCGTCAGGCGTCCGTGGTTCAGCTTTCGGTCGTCGTCGCTTGCCGTAGCAATTTTGCATCCAAACAGAAATTGTAAAGTTGGAGACTGAGGTCCATTTCTATCTATTTTCTTTAATTAACCTTAGTGCTTTTGGTTTGAATGAATTTGCGTTCTTGGTGAGTTTGTCATTATTTTTGGATTAATTTTTCATGTTCGTCCTTATAATGTTGTTATTTGAAATTAGTATATTAATGTGATAAGTTTAGAATTGAGGTATAGGCTGCCTATAAGGAATTGTGGTTTACGAGTTATTTTGGGGAATTGATCTTCGGGATTGGACTAAAGGAAAAACGGTGGTTTGGGCTAAAAATGAAATCGCAGTAAATGTTAGACTGACATTATGGGCTTTACACGGATGTGGCTTGCCGTTTAAGTTTCGGATTATTATTTTTACCATATCACTTTATTCAATTAAGTTATAGTTTAAATTAATATTTTTGTTTTGACAGTTAGGAGTATGCTTAGGCCGTTTACACTTGGGTAGGCAAGTTTTAAGTCTTTTTTTTTTTTTTATTCGAGGTGAAAGGTCGTTCCCTTTAGTTTATATCTGGGGGAATGCCCCCGTAAACCCTGTAAATATTTTTATCAGGGGAATGCCCCAAATTGAATGTAAAAGGAGGCCGAAGCGACATCATCATGGAGGCATAGTAGGATAATTAGATTTATTTTTGTTATTTTCTTTTCTTTTCTTTTTATATATTAGGTGGGACGGCCTAAAGCTTCTTTTGTATTTATTTTCGCATTTGTATGTTTATACCTCAATTTGAGTATTCTTTAAAGCCAACCAGATCATGTATGCAATCGTGACTACTACTATACCTATATACAATTATACATAGTTTCACTATTGTGCTTATACACTTTTATACAGCTATATATAATATACCTCTTTGTATAAAAGTGTATAACATTGTATAAAAATGTGTAAGTATCTCTAATGAACTTTTTGCACGATTTTCACTTGCAATTCTTGAATAAAACTAGTCCAATTCTCCATCAAATAACTTCAAACTTTGTATACATCCTGCTTAGACTATTTCTAATAAGTTCAAACAATACTCACTCCAAATTTCTTACAAAATCATATTCTATATATAACAAGATTAGCATTAAAGGAGGTGAGATTTTAAGTTTCTCGCGTCTGTTTTTGCGTTTTTGTAGCTGTGATAGGTATATATAAATTTGAGAAAAAAGGATAATGGAAACTCACGGATAATTCACGTCTGAAGATATAGAGGAAAAAAAAATAGGATCTAAGCTTTGATATTTGGCTACACATTTGCAAACTTGTAACTGAGCTAAAATACTCAGCTTATGAAGTGCATTATTCTGTAATTTTGTCTTCTTTTTTCTTAAGAATAACCCCGAATTCGTGGTTTAATTAATAATCACGAAAAAATAAAATAGAACAATTTAATAATGCTGGACATGGAAATGTTGTTACATATGTGGAAACTTAGTTCACTCCTATTTCCTAATGCAAAACAAGAGTAGCAGCGCTCTGTAGAGCAAATTAAATAAGTTCTCAAATCGAACCAAAATATTACATGTCATAATAGCAGTTTTTCTAGTAGTATCGTTTTTCGTACATAATTGAAAGATGAACATAGATTGTATATAGCAAGCATGAAAAAATATATCAGGAGCTGAATTAGTTTTTCGCTTGAATATCAAAACTCCCCCTCGTTGACTCCTTCCCCAAATCACAACCAGCAAAACTTAAATAACATATTCTATTTAGAATTGGAATTACTTTTCACCTTATGTTCTAAAATTTTCAATCTTTTATCTACATAATAGTGATTTGTGTTTATGATCTTCCCCTAATTGCTCCTTTGTCCACTAAAACACTTGCTTTAGGTTAGTGGTTCGAGTTTAAAGCCTTTACTCAAATAAATATTTTCCTTGGGCTTCCGCAATCATAAATCCGTTATCGTCCAGCGGTTAGGATATCTGGCTTTCACCCAGGAGACCCGGGTTCGATTCCCGGTAACGGAATTAACAATTTTTGGTTTTTAGCCTTTTCGATTTCATAAATACTTTCTAGCACCCAAAGAAAAAGAAACTTAGTGGGCGTTTCACGTTTGGACATAAGAATTGTAAAATTCCGGAAAATATTTTCAAGTAAAAATGGTATTTGAAATTTAAAATTATTTTTGGACATTAATATAATTTTGGGTTGTTTTTGAAGTTTTGTGAGTGATTTGAGTGAAAATTTTGAAAAACTATTTTTTGGAGTTTTTCAAATTTTCGAAAATTTCTAAAATGCCTTTTCAAGTGAAAATTGGAAATTTTATGAACAAACGCTGATTTCGAAAAAAAATAAATTTATTTTGGAAAAAAAAGAAAAATTTCTAACGTCCAAACGGGTTCTTAATATGGGGAAGGAAGAATTACTTTTCTTACTATATTACTACTTCCTTCCTACATTTATAATGGACTGATATGTAAGTATGATAATGGACTTTTTGCTCATTAATGGACAAGAGAAATTGAAATGCGTTTTTATTTTGTTATTGCTCTGTAAATTTGCTGTGTAGTATACTTTTAATAGAGTATATAATACTTCAATGAAAATTTCTGCATATTTTGTTTTATCCAGACTAAAAAGCTCTTGC